AGGTTCGGACCTTTTCCCGGACTTTCGCTATCCTGACCGTGGCTGTCATCTGCGATGTTGCGGCGTGTCGTTTGGTGGAAACTGACCAGAGTTTCAGAATCTCTCGGCTTATTCATCGCCGTGATGGAAGATGCAGTAATAACCTCTTAAGAGTCCGTAAATTTCTACCAGACTGCACGGCGTAACTTCTCAAAAGGTCCAATTTCATGTTCTTTCTCGTGAAATCCTGTTATCTTAATGAGGTTTTTCGTGATTTTTTTTGTTCATTTAACGTTGGGACGGTAAATTGACATGAGTGCATCATTTCAAATGTTATCATTCTCAGTTATTATTACGTCGCATTTTAGGCCCAAGAGGACTTTACGAGCGGCCACGAAATGAGAAGAGAGAGACATAATTGAGCGAAATTGCAGTACGTAACGAACAATAATCAGAAATCTGAGGCAGAAACAAGACTTTGCTGGTGTTACTAAACTTTATGACCTGTTATTAGTTGCTTAGAAACGACCTTGGGTTGTGACGACGTGTGGCTTTAACCCTGAAGACAGATAAGGTACGTTCCTCCGAAGAGTCGGTGCCTGCCTACGCAACCCAGAAGACAAACCTCAGACCCTCCCCGCCACTGACTTCCCTGAACTGACCCAACAGCTTGTATAGAAACTGAGGCCGGTGGTGCTGCTGTTTTATAAATAAACTGCATGGAACAGATGCACGCGAACAGGATTAGCGGTACATGAAATAAGTGCATTTGGGCGGCGTAGCTGTGGCGAGCGTAATAGAAACCGCTAGCCGTTAAACTTACAACCTAGATATTGTGTCTCAGGCCTCGCCGCCTCTCTCGCGCTCTCTTGTAAGTAGCTTTTCTAGGTCGATGACAGTCGATATAAAAAAAAGTTTTGTCTGAGATATCCGGGTCGACTTACGATCGAACTGATCTCGCGAAGGATTTTAAACGACATTTTCCCGAGCAATAGGCCTACCTTTAATTAATTCATAGTGACCCCTGACGCGTTCCTTACATAACATACGATAAGTGTGTATTAAAAGAATTTGATTTTAGTACACTAATGAATTGTTTTAGGAATATTCATCTGACGGATTTCGACGTTAAGGATTTGGGAAGGTGGATGGACTGCTTGGCTTGTTAAGAAAACTTCGTAGCCGGACCTCACACGCGGCTGACAGCGGCGTCTCCCGTGATGACGCTGCTGTACCTGTTTCTGTTCATTGTAAAGAAATTTAAACTTTATAATTGGCTCCGTGTGTAAAGTCTTAATTTAGAAGCTGATGGTCGTTCAGTTGGCCAAGAAATTCCCGGCCGTTCATGCCTAAAAAGGTTTAGTACCGTGTCCACAAATTCCCGTTTTTATATTTCCGTCTATACTCAGGTCTTCGAGTAGTTTATTTTGTTTCGATTAACATTTGTATAAATTTAACACCCACCCACCCACCCCATCTCATTCTGATTGATGCGATTACCTTAATATTTGGCGTATTGTACAGATTATGAAAGCTCAAGTCAGCTTTCTGATTAGGCCCCGGGGCTGGACGACTGGGGTTCGATTCCTGGCAGGACAGGAGTGTCTCTTCGCAACAGCGTCCAGACCGGCTCTGGGGGCGATGGTGACTGTGTTTTTCCGAAACGTTCGCATCTCTCGACGAAACCCAAAGGCGAGAAGAGAGAAATTTTAATCCTCACCGCCATTAAAACCTTGAATATGAAATAGTATTTGTATCAGCAAAAGGGAAACACGGAGGACAAAAAACGTGTGCAAAATTGGGAAGAGTACATTTGAAAAAAAGGGTGCATTCCGCCGTAATGGACCATGTCTTCGGAAATGAATGTTGATCAAGCTCTATGACGTGCCTGTCACGTAAGGGACAAATCGAAGCTCTGACGTATTGTGATTAATAGTCACTTGTGTATTATAATAGACAGGAAATTTAAGTTCCTGGCTGATTTTTTATGTATCAGAATACGTACTTTCTATGAATAAAATGTCTGGAATACGAGATACAGTGTTGTCTGACAGGATATGTTATATAAATATATAGGAAATATCCCAGATTTTTAGGTGTTTAAATCAATCTTGTGGTCGTCTTCTTTTCGGATTGACATTAAGCCTTACAAAGCGCCCAGTAGGTCAGTTATGATCTGAATTGCTAAGAAACCTTCAACAAAATGAAGAGTACACATTTCAGGAGGCTCACGAATCACGATTCTGCATGCATTATTATTTTGAAGGAAAACATTTATTTTATTGCAAATAAGACTGTTCGAATGATATTTGAATAATGAACTTACGTAAAGTGAGCACTGATGTTTCCCGTTATAAGCATATTGGAACCTTGTCTTCTGACTATAATCATGTCCTTCCTAAGATCGAGATTCTTTAGGTAAAAATACTAAAATGTCCTTTGGAAAATTTTATTTGAAAATGTTGAAAGTGTGTTTCCGCCACCTTTCGTGTCTGAGTCTGTAACCCTATTGATTATGGATGCGTACAAGCAGAATGACATTTTTACCGCTTAAAGCTCAGTACAGAAGGGTTTCGTAAGTGAAAAGAATTTTGTTACTTCTGTTATCGCTATAGCAACCTGCACGAGCTGTTTCTGGAGTGGTCATTTTAAAATAAAATATAGAATTAACTTTGTACCGATAAATATACGAATATAGAGACTGAAATTTATTTGTTGCTAGTGAAGTTTACAGTCATTTATCTTAACATTGTCGAATTTTTCCTAACTTTATGTAGTGGAGCTCATTATTCTTATTTGAAATATCGTCTGCAACTGTAAGATAGCAGCACTACTGTTCGGTAGTACTGCCAATTCCCAAATCTAGATTGACAGAATTCGCCATTTTGTTATATTAAATGTTCGATACAAATTTTCGTCTCAATGAACTTGGAACAATAAAACCCCCCCTTTTTTGTATGAGAAAGTCATTTTTCTTTTCCGTATATATATATATATATATGCAGGTGTTGATCGAAAACAGACACGTGTTTCAGTGAACACTTGAATGTAATGAATATGTGTATATTCGCGCCAAATATGATTAAAATCCTAGGTGGTCTAAAATATGTGTGTACGTGTTATCCCAGCTTTACCTTTTGTTTTTATCATCTTTTTAAAAATTGAATAGAAATTAATTTCCACTGAGCCAATTTTAAATTAAAAGCGACTTACAAGGAAAGGCTCTCTTCCGTAATATCACGGGTTGATGCACCTGAATAAGACCCCGAACGGCTGACGAAGCCTCGAAGGTAAAATGGGAACTTGACGTCATCAGAAAGCGTTGTTTATCCTACACTGTAGGTTTTATTTTCATAAGACATTATGAACAGGCTGCGTCACCTTGTGAGGTGTTGTTCCATACAGCTCTGGTTTAAAATTAACTAGCTATGTGCTTTTCTGATAGAATAAAACGAGTGACATGTATTGGTTCAGGGTATTGAACATTTATGTGGAATCGTATATCAAATTTGCATTTTTTATGTCCTGCTGGTGAAGAATATAGAAATCTGTTCCTATTTTTAGTTTTATTTCCGTGTAGGAAATTTGTAACTTTACATTCATAAATATTCAGGTATCAGGAAAACTTATATCCCAAAATTCGGCCACAGTTGGTTTCATTCAGAGATGGCCGCTGATACCCGCTCTCAGAACAGTCGCGATCTGATTTGTTACCCGACGATCTGTAATGTATTCACGGCCGTCTGGATGTTCGAAAATTTCTTGGTATTCGAATTACCGGAATCAGAAGCCCGCATAGCAACTGCTTGTCCGTGCCATTGCTTGCTTCGTCAGCGGTCTCAGATTCTACTTGGGAAACATTTGTTCGGTTGACATTTATTTTTCTGAATATTGATGTTTCTGCAACTGACACAAAGTAAAATGCGCAAGAAGGAAGAGAGAGAAACAGAGGGAGAGAGTAAGATAAAACCAAATTAATTTTCTTCTTTTAAAATGGGATATTTAAATACAGAGTACCTCAAAAGGATGTACACGCACAAGGTTAATGGTCTGTATTATAATGTAAGCAGCCACGGTGGTCTAGCGGTTAGAACGCTGGCCTTGTAATCCTGGGGTCCCGGGTTCGATTCCCGGCGGTGCCCGAATTTATAACTTGTGTTGGGCAAGGCCGTGGTCTAGGCAACACGGAGTTTTCCTCCGTTGCATCCCAACAATTACTCCATTCACACACAGAAGAAGGCAATGGCAAACCACTTCTGGATCATCTGCCAAGAACGTATATGAACAGGTCCCAGTCCGAGAAAAGGCTGGAAGGATCCTGTTCATATGGACCTGTCGTCAGACAGAACACCAAATAATAATAATAATAATAATTATAATGTAAATACATATTTTTCGGGCTTTCTGTATAATGATCTGGTTCGTAAGAGTATGTTTTAGTTTCCCATTTTGTAGCTTCTTATAATTATCGAGTTATTTGATCTCGGCTGCCTCATTAACATGTTCTTAAAATTTGCTTTCGTATGGACAATTATTAAAATTAGAAGTTTTAAGGATTTTCACGGGATTTAGGCCCAATTATCCCCCCCTCAAGACACAGTTCTAAAACTCTCTAAATCTGTAATATGTTCGAAGGTTCAGAAGACAAGTTCTACAACCATATAAAACAGGTAAATTATAATTGAATAAAAATTTCCTTGGATATTATCCATCGTCTAGTAAATATAAAACGTAAAAAAAGACGATGGATAATATCCAAGGAAATTTTTATTCAATTGACTCTTCACCATCGTCAAGAAGTTTTAGATTTGATATAGGTAAATTATAGTTTAGCAAATTTTAAAATTTAAGTTTTCAGATAGGAAGCGAATCATGTATTTTGATGTACTAAACGTCTGACGCGTTCCTGGAACAGCATTTTACAGATAAGATTAGATTTATCTGAACACACGTTTTTCATATTATCAAGACTGTCCTAACTTTCCGTACTGCGGGATTCAGACGAGCAATTTCTACATCTTTGTTGGTGGACGGAGGGACGGCGTCCATGCATTCAGTTTGCAGTCTGCAGCACACTTGAAAGGTAGCTACCACTGGCGAATGTAAATTAATGTGTACGTGTTCAGACTCCACGTGGCTTCAGTTCCAGCAACAGAATGTGGATCCTTTCGGGTAGGATTACATCAGAACGGTTTATATCAGGATTAATAGAAAAAAACTGACATCCATCTTCTTCTTCATAATAATAAGCAACTGTTGATCATTTGTTGTTAAGTGATTTTGGTTCTTACGGGATAATATTAAAAGAATGTGTTGTTTTAACCATTGTCATGGTAATTTTGAAGTATTTTGGGCCTTGTTTGATATTTATAACCATGTGTATTTTGTTAGATTCACCCCTTAATTGTTCACTGACAGATTTCTGTTGTTAAAATGATTTTATGGGGTAGCTTAGCCAGTGCAGCGACTGACTACTCGCTGGATGATCGTCGTCCTGATGATGGAGGCCGTAAGCACTTGTGAAACGTCGGTCAGTTTCTACGAAACTACAGGACGCAGCATCCCAGAAGACAGTCATATTTCCTTGGACATTCGCTCCACTTCACAGTTCATAATCGCCACTAATTTTATTGGGAAATGTTAAATGGACCGAGACTGAAATAACCTTAGGAGTTGCGAAATTTATGAAGTCTGCTGGCTACACAAATTACGCTAGTGTTTACATTTGTGGTTAATATTGTTCTTAACTCAGACAGGGCTACTTCGGGGACAGTAAACGACATTTCTAGTCTTGATAGTTGTACAGTTCATCCGTTGTGTGTAAGAACTGTAGGCCTGTATAAATGCAGTTGAATCTTATCTATTTATCTTGTGTTCAGTAAGAGGCCGTGGAATGTCGATAATAGGAGATGTATTTCGTATTACGATTAGACTCTTCGGTTTCCCGGATTCGTTAAGTTGACTTTGTCCTGTTTTATAGCCACTTCCCTTAGACTCTTAAAGAAAGCGTCTTCATGTTCTTGCGTTAAATTTCCCGTCATAACTTTTAAATAAATTTGTGAAATAAAAAAGTCTTGAACACCATACGTCTAAAGGTCTATGCATTTTTTTTATTGTTTAATTTGTTACCGTCAGTAATACCAACATGGCCACCGTACGTGGTACTTGAGAAGTGGGAAGACACTGGGCCTCTTAAAGTAGGGACTTCAGTTTTGTGAAACAATATTGAGATCATGCAATATTTACATTTAACTTTCAGTTTGACGGCGATAACTAATGGACCACTGGAACATGAATAAAAAAATTATTATTTTATGATAAACACTGAATAATCATTAATGTAATTTATTTAATTTATTTTAGATGTAGATTATATACTATGTATAACTTGAATTATACACCAACAACTTTGGGGGTACAAAGTTGAAGAGAAATTATATCTGGGGGTACGCGAAGACATCTTAGGGGGTACGTGAAATTTAAAAAAAGTATTATTTTATGATAAACACTGAATAATCAGTAATGTAATTTATTTAATTTATTTTAGATGTATATTATATACTATGTATAACTTGAATTATACACCAACAACTTTGGGGGTACAAAGTTGAAGAGAAATTATATCTGGGGGTACGCGAACAAAAAAAGGTTGAATACCACTGAACTACATTGAACAGAGTCATTGAAAAATAATAATAATCTCTGAGCCAGTTACATCATATTCACGAAGAAATTAAGAGATTAAATTTGGAGAATAGTAGGATTTGAGGTTTTCACGGAGGTGAATCATAAGATGGCTGTCTTCTGGGTTGTTTCGCCGTGTAGCATGCTACATAATCATCATCATCATCGCCCTCATGATGGAGGCAGCAAGGACGCCTGAAATGCCTGAAAACGTCTAGCAGACTACACGGGGAAACAACCCAGAAGACAGTCATCTTAAAATTAGGAGAATCTTGGCAGCACGCAGTTCAGAACCTTTTGTCTTTCCATTTACGTACTGTCTAAAAACGTAATAATTAAAAATAACCAAAACTATAACTTTATCTGTTCGCTTGCGTGAGTATGAAATTTGGTTTCTGTGACCGGAAGGGAATTATATATTTGCGTTTTATTTTTGAAAACAGGGTGCTGAGGGGGAATATTTGAATCCAAGAAATTCAAAGAGACTTTAGGCTTGAGAAAGCCGCTTAAGTAGAATGTTTATAATTTGTACTCTCCATCAGATATTATTAGGATGATAGGACATTGAGATGTGCAGGGTGTGTATCACGCATAAGAGAGCTTAGAAATGCATACAAAATTTTGGTCATAGAGCCTCAAGGGAAGTAATGATCTGTCGATTGGAGGATAATATTAGAATGGATCTTAAGGACACAGAGTGGGGAGACTTGGACTGGACTCATGTGGCTCTGGGCAGCGACCGCTGGCGGGCTGTTATGAACGCTTTTTTTCTTCTTCATGAAATGGAAGGAATGTCTTAAGTAGATGAGTGGCTGTTAGCTGCTCTGCTCCATGTGTTTGAAGCAGGCGCTGTTGAGCCCTTGTTCCCCCCTTCCCAAGAGCGTCTTGGATGTCAGTATCATGTGACTTATGTCCCTTGTTTCCCGCGTTGGCTCAATTTGAATATGACGAAAAGAGTTCAGAGCCATTGCTGTCCTCCTCGCTCACAAGCGACGTGATATTGGACCCGTTGCCAATGCAACGTGTAACACTCTCTTGGTCCATGTGCTGCTGCGGCCGACATCCCATCTCTAGTTTTTTTCCCGATCTGTCACCGCCATCAAATACCCCAAGTAATGTGAAAAATGTTCTTAATTAATGGACTTATCTTTAAGCTACGCTCACCTCAAACACCTCATTTCTTGAAAGGATGAGTTCTTGATTGGTAGTTTTTAGGTTGTGACACGGTCTGATCTTGCGATTGCCACCGTTTTGGAGCAACATACTGCCTCCATCTTCAGGGTGAGCAGTTGAAATCTCAGAAAGTCTAGTTTCATATGTAGAGATCAGTTGTACAAAATTTGATGTTTGGTTTCTAAACGCGAAGAATCAACGTCTTTTGGTTATCGGTTTTCTACCCACGTTTCGGTTCAAATAAAGAATATTTCGATAGTGATTTATGTATCTAACAGAATCGAACGTTGGTGGATGAAAGGCACATTCATTTTTCGACACCTGGAACTAGTCGGCCCACGTGTTATTTAACGATGGTTTTTAAACTGAAGATTTAATTTCTGTGCGAATAAAATTATGTGTGGTGAATTGGAAGGGACTGGGGAGGATGCACTAGTCGCCTGTCCTGGAGTTCAGAGAAAGACGATGAAAAATTAATGTTTCACGACGAATTGTTTCCTGGACAAGATTCGAACTTGCAAAGGAACATAAGTGAGGTTATCGCATGAACTGACAGAATGTCCTCTGAATGTCAGAATTTGGTCCAGGTAGAGCCGGTTTGCGCATTCGTAGTAGTTTGTGATTTTTAAATTGTGATATTTTGAGCAAAGTTTAAGTAAATCAACACAAATTTACGTAACAACTATGCTATTGACGCTTGGTCCTTTTTCCAGTAAATATTTTTAAGTCAGTTTGTTTGCCTGAATAATAATATGCATCTCAAACAATATTACTTGGTATTATGATTTTCCATTATGTTACTCGTTTACTAGAAACTACCATGGAAAATGCTATTTAAAGTAACTTATACGAGATTAGTTTAATGGAAGACACCTTTGTAGTTGAGTGGTGTGCTTATAAACCATTAAATACACTTTACGCGGCTAACGCGTAAAATCATTCCCCTTAGAGGTCAGCCCTTCAAAATTTAACTACTTATTATATTCGGGAGCGCTTTAGGAAGAAACATTTGTGGAGACGTAGGAACAGACGAAAATATAAATTCCGGCTTCAAAATCTTTCAATTTTTGTGGCGGAAGAGAGGAATGTTTGGCCCGTAAATCAACTGATCTTAGCTCTCAGAGTTCTCCTGCACTTCACCTGATGTCGTCCCACTGCCGAGTTTTTCCGTCTCCTCGAAACTCTCTTTTCAGACACTGGAAGTTCTTTTCTGATGGATTGATTACACACGCATTAGAAGGAGGAGTACGAGTGAGAGGTAGTGAAATATGATAAATAACCCCTCTTTCGCTGTTTGTTAATAATAAATTTGTCACAAATTTGCTTTCTTATTAATATTAATTTGAAAGTGGATTCCATATTCTCTCCCGTCAAAACAAGAGTACCAGGTGAAGATCGTATTTGCATCTCGTAGCCCAAGGAGTGTGTCAGGTTTGTGTGAAGGCGTGACAGGCCTGTATAATGAGATTTTGTGGCCCTATGTGTCAACAAATGCGAGAAATATTAATGCCCGCTCATCTAAACGTGACATTGGAGTGACCTTCAAGGTGGTGTCCGAGCATATTTCGGTGGGAACCATTTGTTACACATGCAAGTGAGCTGTGTGTGGGCAAGAGGACACGAATAAATGCATCTCGTATTCAGCTATCGCGGTCAGGCCATCCATAAGACAGCCCTTCCATGTTCCCTCCAGCTTCTTCATGCAATGATCGGGGAGTACGTTGATTGTTAAATTCGCTAATCTTTAACTTGCGGTACTCAAGGATGTCTTATGTCGGTCGAAAATTAAAACGAATAAAATTATTTTGCTTCTTATCACTTTATAAATTAATGTCTTCTGGGATGTCAACAGTTGTGCCCCTAGTAGCCATCGTTGGAGTTTTTTTTTTGAGTTCTCCCATTGGTGTTAAGTTTAATTTCTGTATGTTTTTGTTAAATACATATTTAAGATCACTCACGACATCTTTGTTCACCCCTGTTCTTGAAGGCTTATACTCAAATAATTCTCTGGAAATATAATAATGATTAAGAACTTTAAATATGCATTAAGTTTCTTCTAATTCCAAAGAACGCGAAGTTTCCTGTGCAGTGTTGTTCTGTGATGGTCTGAATGAAGTAATTTCATTCCCTATTTTGCTACTTTGCGTTTCTTACGGATATAAACATTAAACCTTATTCTGTTATAAATGAGTTGCATTAATTCCGTTTTCAATAAATCGATTACAA